GCTGGGCATGGTGGCGTGTGCCTGTAATCCCAGCTACTCAGGAGGCTGAGGCAGGAGAATTGCCTGAACCCAGGAGGCGGAGGTTGCGGTGAGCCGAGATCGCGCCATTGCACTCCATCCTAGGCAACAGTTTGAGACTCTTCGTCTCAAAAAAAAAAAATTTAGCTGTGTCTGGTGGCGCACACCTGTAATCCCAGCTACTTGGAGGCTGAGGCAGGAGAGTGACTTGATCCCAGGAGGTGGAGGCTGCAGTGAGCCAAGATGGCACCACTGCACTCCAGTCTGGGCAAGAGTGAGACCCTGTCTTAAAAAAACTAAAATATGTCAAATTTGAGTTGAAACAGAATGGACTAGCCTACTCCCAAATCCTCAGTGCATGAGATGCCTCCATGGATATTTCAGAAACATCTCAAAGTCACCGCCCTAGGTAACTGTATTACCTAAAAAAACTAACAAAAAATTGTTAAGTATTTATAGATTTAAGTAAATCTAAGATTCCTAAATGGTATACAATACTGTGGGGTTTTTATTGTGAGACATTTGACAGCATAATTTCTCTAAGCCTTAGTTTTTCCTAATCTGTAAAATGATGACTTTATACTAGAAGATATGAGCGCTATCAACGGTAAAGGTACATTAATGAGGGCTATGATAAAATTAGTGGTGGTGATTTCTGAATTTTGAACAGGCATACTATGAGAGTATAAATTTTCCATGTCTGAAGATCTTAATTTCAAGTTTCTGTTATCATCTTTGCTTTATATTTAAAGCCTACTGTAAGTTATTACTATCACATATCTTTTTCCAGATCACTAAGAGCTAGATAGAATTATTTTTTAAAGCACATCAATTTTCTTATCTTTCCTCAGGGAAGATATGTACCAGAAGCGATGTGTTGCAGGAAAAAATAACTTGGCTTAAGATTTTTTGTTTTGCCTAAATCTGAAAGGGGATACTGCCTACAGTAAATTTAGGGAGAAACCAAATGGGCCAAAATGAGGAAAAGAGAGACTACAATATGAAAATATTCTAGACCAACAGAAAAATAATCCAAGCCTTTTTGTTGTTGTTGTTGTTGAAACAGAGTCTTGGCTGTTTTGCCCAGGCTGGAGTACAGTGGCACGATCTCGGCTCATTGTAAACTCTACCTCCCGGTTTCAAATGATTCTCCTGCCTCAGCCTCCTACGTAACTGGGATCACAGGCTTCCAGCTCATTATTTTGTATTTTTAGTAGAGATGGAGTTTCACCATGTTGGCCAGGCTGGTCTCAAACTCCTAACCTCTCAACAGATCAGTCTCCCAAAGTGCTAAGATTACATGTGTGAGCCACTCCAGGCCTGGATTAATTTATTAGCTGAAGAATTAAGTTATGCCAGGCCAGGCGTGGTGGCTCACGTCTGTAATCCCAGCACTTGGGGAGGCCGAGACAGGTGGATCACAAGGTCAGGAGTTCAAGACCAGGCTGGCCAACATGGTGAAACCCTGTCTCTACTAAAACTACAAAAATTATCCAGGCATGGTGGCATGTACCTATAGTCCCAGCTACTCGGGAGGCTGAGACAGGAGAATTGCTTGAACCCAGGAGACGGAGGTTTCATTGAGCAAAGATCACGCCACTGCACTCCAGCCTGGGCAATAGAGCAAGGCTCTGTCTCCAAAAAAAAATTAGTTATGCCAAAGTAATGAAAGGTAAAATCTTTTAAGTGCATTTTCATGAAACTCAGTTCCACAAAATTCCAAACTGTCAGTCATGAAGACAATTTTTACAAATCACACTCTCCGGCCGGGCGCAGTGGCTCATGCCTATAATCCTAGCACTTTGGGAGGCTGAGATGGGTGGATCACCTGAGGTCAGGAGATCGCGACCAGCCTGGCCAATGTGGTGACACCCCATCTCTATTATTAATTATAAAAGAAAAACAAAAAACAAATTACACTCTCCATCTCTAAATGCTTGAAATAATGTTCCAACCTCTTTATAATGAAAAAACAGGCAGGAAATGCTTTTCTGGATACTTTTTGTTTTTTGAGACAAAGTCTAAACTATATTGTCCAAGCTGAATTTGAAATCCTGAATTCAAGCAATTCTCCCACCTCAGCCTCCAAAATTGCTGGGGCTATAAGCATGTGCCACCATGCACGGCTTTTCTGTATTCTTTTTCTAAATAACCTAAAATATTGGTAAATCATATTCTCCTACAAATGACAGATCTTAGGCACAATGCCCGGAAAACTAAAGGGCAACCCTTAGTCATGAAATCTTTAGGGTACACACAACAAAGAAAAAGCATTATAAAATCAACAGTTAAGGCCAGGCACAGTGGCTCATGCCTGTAATCCTAGTGCTTTGGGAGGCTGAGATGGGAGGATTACTTGAGTTGTGAACCTTTCAGAATTTAGGCAGAGTTTTGAGGACTAGGTAAAGGACTTTGTGAGACTCCAAAGTGTCATACAGTGGTATCCTTAAAGACTCGAAAAACTTACCAGTTCACCCTACATACAAATAGCTTATTACAGAGCTGTGGCTTCTTGGCAGTCAAACCCTATAGAACAAATGTTTTTTGGGACAGAGTGTAACAGTTCACACCTCTTTATGTTGAAGATGCCTATTTCTTTTCTGCTGTTAAATGAAGAATGAAAAACACTGAATTGTAACTGCTAATTTTTTTTTTTTTTTGAGGCAGGGTCTCCCTCTGCTGCCAAGGGTGAAGTACGGTGGTGTGTTCGGCTCACTTGAAGTCTTGAATTCCTGAGCTCAAGCAATCCTCCTGTCTCAGCCTCCCAGGTGGCTAGGACTTCAGGAATACGTCACCGTGCCAGGCTAATTTTTTTTTGTAGAGATGGAGTTTCACTATGTTGACCAGGTTAGTCTTAAACTCCGGGGCCCAAGTAGTTTTATTAATGTTGTTCTCAAAATGTATCTCAAGTGGTAATTTAGCCATTAAATAAAATTTAAAATTTAAAATTTTCAAATAAAATAACTTTAAGGCCGGGCGCAGTGGCTCACGCCTATAATCCCCAGCACTTTGGGAGGCCCCGAGGTGGGTGGATCACGAGGTCAAGAGATCAAGACCATCCTGGTCAACATGGTAAAACCCCATCTCTACTAAAAATACAAAAAATTAGCTGGGCATGGTGGCGCATGCCTGTAATCCCAGCTACTCAGGAGGCTGAGGCAGGAGAATTGCCTGAACCCAGGAGGCAGAGGTTGTGGTGAGCCAAGATTGCGTCATTTGCACTCCAGCCTGGGTAACAAGAGTGAAACTCCATCTCAAAAAAATAAAAAAATAAAATTAAATAACTTTTAACAGTTAAATTTTATACAATATTAAACATGGAAAATCAGAGTATACCACAGACAATCACAGATTTTATAGATTTCAGATGCATTATATATAGCACAGTAGAAAATAATTATGAAAATGTTAGAAAGTAGATAAAGGAGTTTATTATGGCAGGGCACAGTGGCTCATGCCTATAATCCCAGTACTTTGGGAGGCCGAGGCAGGAGGATCACTTGAGGCCAGGAGTTCAAGGCCAGCCTGGGTAATACGGTGAGACCTAGTCTTTACAAAAAATACAAAAATTAGCTGAGCATGGTGGTGTGTGCCTGTAATTACAGCTACTCAAAAGGCTGAGGGGAAAAACTCTTGAACCTGGGAGGTAGAGGCTGTAGTGGGCAGTGTTCACAGGCTGACTATCTCAAAAAACAAAACAAAACAAAATAAAAAACGCCAGAGGTCAGGAGTTCAATACCAGCCAGGCCAACATGGTAAAACCCCATATCTACTAAAAATATCAAAATGAGCCAGGCGTGGTGGTGTGAAAGCCTATAATCCCAGCTATTCCAGAGGCTGAGGCAGGAGAAGTGCTTGAAGTCGGGAAGCTAAACTGAGATCACGCCACTGCACTCCAGCCTGGGCAACAAAGCAAGACTCCATCTTAAAAAAAGTTTAGAGTTTATTTTGTTTATCTGTCACAGTCCTTCCTAATTTCAGTGCTCAGAAACTGGATTTCTTGCCTTGTAGTATTACTTTAAAACAAACTTATGCTCTTTTTTCCTATTAACATCATGAAGTTTCAACTATCTTTCCTGCTAGAAAGACAAAGGGGTTTCCTGTTGCACATGCCTTAAGACTTACCTCTTTGGGGCACATCCTTAATTTTAACTCTCCTATCAAAGTCATTTCCTATCAAAGAAACTACTCATTTAGATATTCCTGACTAAGAAACTCACTGCTTCTGAAAAGGCAAGTTGGAAATTTTTCTTCATTTCAGTCATTTCTGGCAAATGAGAACTAAAGCCAGCTTGAGGTTCAGTCCCTACTAAAGCTCCCCTCCAACATCAGATATAGCTACGAAGGGAAGCTACTTGTAGTCATTTCAACCAAATCCAAAAGTCAGAGAATCAAATTATTTGTCCCATATTCCAACAAGTCCATCATCATGTGGTCTTCCAAAGTAAAACAATGATACTCTAAGATCAACATCTCTGCAGACACAGAATCTAACCTGAGCTTTACAGTATTAGCAGGAGCAACATTTTAAGTGACAATACTCTCAAATTAAGCTGTGTGGATATAAGTATTTACTTATATATTTACCCACTATTCCACAATATAAATGTGTACAAATCTTAAAAATGTATACTGTACTAGACGAAGTCTACTGTTCAATAGTAAAAGAACTACTTTAACAATAAGTTATTTTATTTCTGAACTAAAAGTACAAATGCTATATAACTACTTCTGTATTCCAAACAAAACATGCTTTTAAAATTTTTTTGCTCTAAAGAATAGAAAAAAGTATAAAACAAAACATCAACCACTTCTGTGAGGAAACCCATTACTGAAGACTTGAATAATCACCGTGAACAAACAATAAAGGATGCAAATCCCTCCTCACGAGTCAATTCTTTTGAAACAGAATTAAGACTTTATCAAGTAGCTCATTATTGCAGCATATCAGTAATCAAACAATATATTTAGTAAATACATACAGTTCCAGAAAGGACATCATGAGGACAACAGTTGAGAAGGTGACTCTTGCATACTCTGTCATCACTGAATTTGATTCGTTGACGAGTAGTATCTCCTGTAATATAGAAGAGTTAATAACACTCAAGGTTAGACAACTGGAAAGTATTTTCTGAGAGCCCTACTATTACTAGCTTTTTATGTGTGGCTACATACACACATTATCAATCAGCTCAAGAGGGATTAGTTTTTACATACATCCTATAGAAAAACTTTTAGACAACATGCAGTTGCAGTAAGTGTACTGCATACGTAATTCAAATAGTCAAAGTGAGAAAGCAATGCATTCTGTTAAATAGAGTACTTCAGAAAAGCACAGGATTTTAGAGCAGGAATGGACTTTAAAGATTATCGAGTCCAACTCCTTCATATTGCAGATGAGAAAACTGAGGCCCAAGAGGTTAAGCAACTTGTAGACCCACTAAGTTTATATTGGTATACAATGTTCCCTTCTTGACACTAAGCATTGATATATTTTTATTTACAGTAATTGAAAAACATAAAAAATAATCTTGCAAACATTGCATACACACTGCGAATCCCCACTGAACCCCAGACGCCATTTCTTCCACTATTTTGTTCCAGCTGAAGTGTCTCCCTTTTGCTGCTGGGAGGAGTTAGAGAGGGTAGAGTAACGCGTTTAAGAGCGTACAAACCTGGAAGAAGGACTTACACACCAGTCAAACAAAGGCACATTGCCTAAATGAAACGTTAACTTTCATGCGTCCAAAGGTTCCATACCTCCAAGTTTTATGTAGTCTGCGCTTTTTTATATTGTCAAACTAGGTACATTTAAATTCATTCTGTCTTCATATAACACGATACACCTACCTCCTAAGCAACAGAAGCATCCAACCTGCTTATCAAATATGACTATCTACTCAAAATGTTAAAGAATCTAAGAAAAAGAAAGGTAACTAGCTCCAATAACAAAATACAGACGTTAGTTACAATTTTTTTGCTTAGAATCTCTTTGGAAAAACAAAAAGAAAAACTCATAAGGATGTCTCCTCTTTCTATATAGAATAAGCCCTAAGAAATGTAGGTGTTTTATTTTAGCCTTAAATTGATACATCATCGATGAATGAAAACCTACTGGTGAATTACTGAAGCAAGAACTACTGTTGCCAAAAAGATATAAATACCTCCGTACTTCACATGATATGTCTGGAGCACTCCAAAAACTTTCATGTAGGATGTGATTCAATCATTTAATTTCTGTATTTTCACATGTGAATAACAAAAAAGGTTAAAACTTTACCCCTTTATATGGTCATATACTGAAAAGCTTAACTTAAATTCAACTAAATAGTATCATTTTTAGATGGGGTAAGATTTTGTTCAAATTGTTTTAACTTGGTTAGAAATATTTTAAACATTCTAATTTCCAACGAAGGTATATAAAATTTTAACAACAGTAATTTATAGCTAAAATGATAGCTTCAGAGCAGTTCAACAATAGGTTTTCTGGAAGCTCATCTCTAGTAGGTTATTTTTGACACAATTTGGATATTCAGTTTAGGGTTTACGCCTGCTACTATAATAAAAGTTATTTTGGTGGTCCTTTTTCCTTTTAAACACAACTGCTTTTGTTCCACATTCATTAACACATCTGAAAAGTTAGTGATAACTCACGGCTTGGCGAATGCGGGGCCTTTCTGACACTCCCTTGCAGATTGAGGTAGACAGGCATAGATACATTGAACCTTTACAAATAAAACAAGGGGCCAGATTGTTCATTTTGTATAGAATAAACTCTGCCAGCAATTTTAATACAGCATCTAGAAGTACATTTTGACTGTAAAGATTATTTTATATAAAAACAAAAGTGAACAAAATCAGGGTGTTTCATTTTTCAAAATACTGACTTAACAAGTATAACCCCAGATAACTGTATGACTGACTACAGGTAAAAGTCCAAAACTGGAGCTCTGAACAATGTCTTTGAGTCAAGTGGGGTTTTAAGAAATTATTATTTTTTTATCAAGACTTTGGTGAGGGCCTAATGCTCATGTTAGAAGGGTACTATGATAAGCTCATACCAGAATGTCAATGCTATTAGAGGCTTTTTGCTTCCTACCGTCTAAGAAAAAAATTTCTCCCATGATGCTTTGGTTTTGAGAGTTGGGAAAACTCTGAGAACTTAAGGGAACCAAACTCAGGAATCCCAAAATTGGTGGCATTATGCCGCTCGTTTAGGGGCTGAACATAGGACCTGTCTGAAACTGAGTGAACTAGATGCATTTGGGTTTGAATTTTTGTCACATACTGAAATGTAAGTCAGCCCTAAATAATTGAAACACTTTATTTTTTTTTAAATAGGAACTTTCTGAAGAAAAAGTGGTGTGTAAAATTTGATATTTAAGACAATAAAGTTTTTATCAAAAGAAAAAATTAAAAAAAAAATAAAAAAAATTTCATTTCAAATCTGTACCCTAATTATATTAAGGAATTTTAAAGTTGAAACAAAACAAAACAAAAAACCCCTTATGTATCTAGTAGTCTTCCTGCTAAAAGTACTGAAATGTTATGGTAATGCAACAGTGGAATCATTTCAGTCCTTTGTTAAACTAATGGCTCAGGCCTTTGAATAAAATCAGGGTGAAGCTTTACTAATCAAACATTTCATCAAGTAGAGAACTGATTTTTGCTTAACAACTTACATTTAAATATTAAGTTAATTGTGCCCTGAAGACACAGCTATCAATTAAACTATGAACAATTCCAAATAGAAATACAGCAAACCAGCAAGTTTCCCTGGTGAGCTTCTTGGGTTTTTTTAAATTTTTATGGATACGTAACAGTTGTACGCATTTTCCCTGGTAAGCTTTTTAAAACAGCATCTGTTTCTATAAATTCCAAAAGCATTTTAAAATAACTCCTCACTACAAATGAATGGGTGCTCCATAAATATTTGATAACTGTAGCAAACACAACAAATACAGCTATCAAATAGCAGCCATTATCTTTAAAACAATGAATAAAACACTTAATAATTTGAGATACAGAAATATCCTGAGAGAGAACAGCAACTGTTTATTGACATTTTTAAAGTTCTGCTTAAGGGACTTTAAGGTTGACATTTGAAAACAATCTGGCTGCATAACCTTGCAGTATTTAACAAATTTATTTGGGCTTATTCCATGGAAGTACAATTTGGCTAAACCAACAATGAATTAAAAAAAAAAAACTGCTGGCAATTTTGTTTTCCGTCAAGATATCTGGCCCAAACCATGTTTTTCATAAGAACTAGATAAAACAGTGCTATTTTATAAAAAGCCTATTTTATGAACCAAATCTGCTTATAATACAAGAAATTATTTTCAATCTAATGTATTTTATCTTTGGGTTTTGTGGGCATAAAGTCATATAAAAAAACATAAATTATGGAAAAAAAAGTTTCTTGTCACACTAACAATGGATTCAAATCACAGAATCAAACCTATTAGTGACCACACCTGCTGTGCTAGGCAATGGAATTATGAAGAGGCATATAAGACAAGTTCTCTCCTCTCAAGGACTCAATGATTTTGCTAAAGAAATAGGACATAATAATTTTTTTTAATTTTTTGTGAAACAGGGTCTCACTATGTTACCCAGGCTGATCACCAACTCCTGCCCTCAAATGATCCTCCTACCTCAGTCTCCGAACATACTGAAATTACAGGCAGGAGCCACTGCATCTGGCCAAGGATATATTAATAAAGTAATAAGTTATAATTTAAGATAACATGATCCAAGTGTCAAATGTGTGTTTCAATTAGGAATGCATAGACTAAAATTACCACCAAGACTGGAGATACTGGGAAAAGCTTCATGAAATAGCCAAAATTTGAAGGAAAGATACGACTTAGATCAAAGGAAAGTAGAAAAAAGAGCACTACAAACTGGAGTGATATCTTTGATAAAGCTTATAGAAGCAAAAAGGATTGGGAGACCAGTAAGTAAACCATATTTGGCTTTGGCAAATAAGCTGCTGAGCTCACATAATAATGTGGGAACTGTATAAAGATCTATGGCCAATTTCTAGTCTAGTCCATGGCTTCATGTAGAAGAATTGCAAAGTTAGGATCAGAATAACACTTTTTGAGTAATATTTGATTTCTGACATTTTTCATTTTTTCAATCCAAATTTTTAGTGTATAAAGTAAAAAAATTAAAATAATGAACTGGAGAACTAGACGAAGTTATTTTTGTCAACAACAAAAAAAATCCTACCTATAAACACATGGAGGTATCACTCTCCTATAACCTCTATGATAATTAGGCCTTGTATGTTAACTACACAGCCAAGTTTTTAGAATTAGAAACTTGATTTAGAACTCTAGCAAATGAAGTGTTTTTCATTTTAATAGAAACATCAAATTTCTGTTAATTCCTGTTTCTACCAAATTTTCTACTGAGAAACAACTCTCTTATCTCCCTCTTTTGTTCAACCCCTTCGTGAGTTTCATGAATTATAATCTTTGAGAACACCTGAGTCACAAGAATACAACAAAAATGAGGATGCATATTATTCTTCTCCAGGTCTTTCACCAATGTATCAGAGCCTAAGGTGGTACTAAGGCAGCCAGTTCCACTCGGGGAATATGGACAAGTCACTTTAAAAGAAAGCCTCCTCTCCAAATTGTACTCAAATACTGCTATTCTCAAATCCCCTTCCGTAAGTCAGGAGGAAAAAAAAAAGCCCACTGTAATTCCCAACACTGCCATTCTATGGTCCTGCCTTTTCTGAAACTTCCATTAATACTTAAATTGTATTAGTAACATTTACAACCTTAGCCTAGGTGGTCTCTGACATGATTTTATATGGTGCATGCTATCTTCCCAATATCCACCCCTTCCCTCCAGTGCTACCCACCCTACCCCTCCCATACAAACAAGAAACCAAATCAACTTTCATAGATTTAGGTGCTATTTTAAAAACATCAAAATTTTACTTTACCCATTCTCTCCGATGCTCCCTGTATTTTTTTAAGCTGTGAGTGGATGACCATGCTATGTGATCAACAACTGTGAAGGCTAAGCAAAAGTGAACTGAGTTTAGTATTGTAATTTCAAAAGAACCTTGAAGTTTGTAATATTTGACATATTTAATGGTATGCAGAATCCTATTTTACAGTACATTATCAGGCATTAAACGGCAAGCAATTTACAAGAACAATCAGTATTTTTTTTGTACAGAATTAGCTTAGAGCTTAGCTTAGAGAAAACAAAGAGGGAAGAGAAAATGCAACAGCATACAAAGCAGTGGAGGCACCCCCATGTCTATAAATGGGGGCAGCAGAAGGGAAGCCCTCCTACATTTTCTAGTATGGCAACCAAAGCCCTTCTCACAAGCATGCTAGTTGAGGGTCACATGTCACAGTGGGCTTGAGACAGGACAGTTCCCTCCTCTCTGACATAAGATCCATAACCCTTCAGTGAAAGGAAAGCTACAGGTAGAGAGGTATATAACCAAAAGTTTAAAGCTTATTTCCCTGATCCCTTGAATCCCCAAATGCAGAGAAATGTTCCTCTCTCCATTTCTTCCAAAGCAAGCTGCGAGTTCACACAATAATGTGGGCAACTGTATCTATGGCCAATTTCTAGTCTAGTCCAGGGCAGGACGAGATCTAAAGCAGTGTACAAGTAAAACCTTGTGTCGCAGGGAGTGGTGGCTCATGCCCGTAATCCCAGCACTTTGAGAGGCCGAGGCAGGTGAATCACTTGAGGTCAGGAGTTCGAGACCAGCCTGGCTAACACAGTGAAACCCTATCTCTACTAAAAATCCAAAAATTAGCTGGGCATAGTGGCACAAATCTGTAATCCCAGCTACTCGGGAGGCTGAGGTAGGAGAATCACCTGAACCTGGGAGTTGGAGGTTGCAGTGAGCCAAGATGGTGTCACTGCACTCCAGCCTGGCCCACAGAGCCAGACTCCGTCTCAAAAGAAGAAAGAAAGAAAAGAAACACCTTGTGTCTTCATGTAGAACCAAAGTAAAAGTGATTACTACTGCTGCACAGTAACTATTATACTAATCTGATCATTTTCACATCTTCCTCTAACTTCTAACCCACTCATACCAACTTCTCCCACCTACCTTTGTTGTTCCTCTAGAATTCAGCTTAAAGCCCACCTATACAAATCCTTTGTAGTTAACCCTTTAAAAAAACATTACTCCCTTACTCCATATGCTCTTATTAATATATACACTCAGTTTAACCCACTGTATATTTAAACAGTTCAAAGTATAGGGTTCATTTTACAAAAGGACTCCATGTCTTAACATAATTATATAGATGCTATGAAAACATTTTATATGTCTTGATATCCTAAACTTTTCAGGCACATGTTTATTACATAAGGAAAGGAAACAAAGAGTACTATGCCAAAGATGGCAACAGGAAAAAACAATTATGACAGTCTGCCTTCCAAATGTGACATCAAGTCACTTCCAATAAAACAAAGCAGCTTTCCTTTCCTCCAGAAAATGCAAACACAAGGGTGCTATACAGCTCAGAAAAGTTATTCTTCTTAATCTTCTGGTTCATATAATCCTATAAGTTTATAATCAGAAATAGGTACTAGTATCACCCCCAACAATAACTCCCATGACAAGCCGAACATTTTAAAAATACAATGCCCATTGTAGAATAAATTTCCAGAATTCTATTATTAATCAAAGGTTAATGTTTTTTAAATGTTAAAAATCTAGCCCACTTGTCTGTGAAAATCCGTATCACACGATTATAAAGAATGAGAATGGGAAAAAGCCTTGATTGTAGGGAAAAAAGCCTGTAGAATCTTTGAAGCTAATCAGAATGGTGATGATGGAAATGTGAGAAAGGAATACTAAAGAATCTGCATTCCAAGGGCTCTATTCCATGCCCTGCCTAACCTCTCTCATTAATATAAGCAAAGGGTCTTGGCAGCTGGCAGTGATCAATGCCATCCTGTTTTGGGGCATACCTGCTTTAGGAAATCAGCATATTTCTCGTCTTAAATTAAGAGACATTAGAAAAGCTTGAAGTTACTTTAAAATTAAGTCCTAGAGTGGGTTACATAGAATTTAAGATACATGGAATAAAAAGTTGCAGCCTGCTAAATTTTGTATTTTGATACTTACTTGCAGAGCTGCAATTCTGATACAGTAACACTTGCATTTTGGATAGCTGGTGCCTTCTATCATCCAGAACTTTCTATATACAAAACTAGACGTAATCAAAGCTATCTTTGGCTACGAAACAATAGCTGAAAAGAATCAAAGAAAAAGTGATTGGCTGATTTATCTACTAAGAAAGACAAGTTCTCATCAGCTGGTGATAGCTGCAGAAGCTAACTAGAGCCTCCCCAAATCTAAAAGAAAGAAAGAAATAAAAAAGGGAAAAGAAATGAGAATATCAAAGAACAGAGGTGACAGACAACCCAATGATAAAGGAAGAAGTTAAAATGAAAACAAGATTACCATGAAGGAGATGTGAGCCTTAAAACTATTTAAATAACACAGCAGGAATACTGTGTCATAGTGAATATACAACAAATTCACAAAAAGGTTTCCTCTGGGGAAAGGACTGAGACCATGAAGGGGACCATAAAAGACTTTATCTGTGAGGCTTTACACACTTTTTAAAGTTTGACAGAAATATACAAAATAACATTTGTTCCATCATATAGGTGCTTGACTGTCCTTTGTACTTTTTAAAACACTTTTTTCAAATGCAGATACCTATCACCAGTATCACAGAACTTATTAAACATTCATGTGTAATTCTTCATTCCCATTAGATTTTTAGTGAAAAGATGACAGAAGCAAATTATGTCCATAATCTCTTAGTTAAGGAAATAGAGAAATAACTAAAGCAACTCAGCAACCTGGGGATACAATGGAAAGTAAGATTCTATTGCTATAAATAATTACTAGACCCTAAAGCACATCAACCAATAACTGTATAGAACACCATGTGCAGAGAAGTATTCCCTCTAACACAATGGAGTAAATTAAATTATAACAGGAATTTTTCAAAATATTCATACATGGTATCCAGATTCAGGTGAATCAACTGCTTAGTCCTACCAACATGCTCTGCTGCTCTGCTCCCATCTATAATGCAGACTCACAGCCACTTCCCCTAGCATTTCTATCAGGCTTCTCTTTGATAAGCGGCTTTTCCCATAGCCAGGAACCTTTCACATTCCCATTATGGAACCAATTGGTGAAATCCTGCAGAATCATCTACCCCCATGGACCAAAGCACTAAAGGGAGAGGTGAGAAATTTAGCTAAATGAGGTAATTTCACCCTGGAGATGGACCTCTAGATGGACCTCTCTAGGGATCTCCTAGATCTCTCTGTCTCACAGGCTTGTATTTCTTTCTGTCCAGTCATTTCTGCTTATTGGCTTGGGTATATATAGTTCAATCAGCTTTCCTTTAACATGAATACTCCCTGAAACAGTAATTTCCAAAGCATGAGATTTGCACAAAAAGACAACTTTAAGGGTTATATGATTTCCCCAACATGACATTTTAAATACCACTCAGTAAGAAAGTTATTAATCATGATTAAGAAAAAAAAGTTCCCATTTTGCAACAGTACTTATTTAATAAATTTAACAACTTCTAATTTTTAGCACAGGGAACCCTAAGTGGCAAGAGAGTCTAGCTCTATCTTTGTAAAACACCATTTTGTTTTCATTGTATTTATTTTTATGGTGGTATAAACTTTCATTTTAAAATTAATAAAATTTTAAATTTTCATTTTAAAGTCTTTAGAAAGTGAGTTGACATAAAGGAAAGTATTAAATAAATAGAAAACAGTAAAAAATAATAAAGGCAAGGCTGGGCATGGTGGCTCATGCTTGTAATCCCAGCGCTTTGGGAGGCCAAGCCAGGCAGATCACTTGATGTCAGGAGTTTGAGACCAGCCCGGCCAACATGGCGAAACCTCAACTCTACCAAAAATATAAAAATTAGCAGGGAGTAACGGTGCACACTTGTAATCTCAGCTACTCGAAAGGTTAAGGTACGAGAATTGCTTGAATCCAGGAGGTGAAGGTTGCAGTGGGCCAAGATCACGCCACTGCACTCCAGCCTGGGTGACAGAGACTCAGTCTCAAAAATAATAATAATAAAGTCAGTAAGTGTGGCAAACATTTGGGAAACATTTATGTAGAAGAGGGTATCTCAGACTTTTAATGTGTATCAGAACCACCTGGAAAGCTTCTTAAAACATAGATTACCCAGGATTTCTGACTCAGTAGGTGGGTCCAAGAATTTGCATTTCTAACAATGCATGGTGATGCTGAGGTAACACTGAATTGCTGGCCCAAGGACCACGCTTTCGAGAATCACTAAACCACAACTGTGATAAACAAACTTTCTGTTAAACAGCCAGATGGTAAATGCTTTATGTTTGCGGGCCATATGACTCTGTAGCAACTATTCAACTCTTGTTTTAAGCCAAAGCAGCCACAGGCAATATGTATATGAATCGGCATGGTTGTGTTCCAATAAAACTTTATTTGTAAAAAGCAGGAGGCCATAGTGCCAGCCCCTGATCTAAAACATACACTTCAAATAACTGAGAAGAGTCTACCATGTAAACTACTAGTAGAGCAGAATACAGAACAGAACAGCCAGGTATACTATAGATACTATCCAATAAGTATCAGTTAACGCTAGAAGAGAAAGGTGGGGTCTGTAGAAATCTAAGGTATTAAGAAGATTAAAAACAAAAACAATTTACCATATTCAGGAGACAAGATTCAGCAAGGACAGCTGGTTAAATTCTTTTCATGTCGAGTCAAGTCAAACATCAGTTGTACATGGTTCACAACTATATTGGAACATATGGGTCAATACTGAGTGCTTTTTGGAAAGAAGTTTTAAAGATTCTTTTCTATGCTAATACCAAAATATGACATTTATTCAGCTGAATGGACTACATGTTACTTTCTGATGGCTTTGACTTCTCAAAGTCCTAAGTCATTAGGTTCAAACAAAAACATGGAGCTGCAGATGATTTCAGAGGTTTTACAAATTACTTTTCTCTATATCCTCAGTAATTTTACAAAATTGCATACTGATCTATTTTGGCTCTGCCTTCCAATGTCTATTCTAGCAGCTGCTAGTGTCTGAGAATCTAACCCAAAAGCAAACAGAATAGCTTTCCTGCAAGTTCTGAAATCACAAGATTCTAGTCAGAAACTTACCCTCATTCATTCCCTCATTCCTTTTCCAGCAAGATGTTCCAGCTTCCTTCATCTTCTTAGTTTCTTAGTAGAGTGATTAAGTTATGTCAAAATGCTTGTTTCCTCAAGAACTCTACACACTAACAGCAGTAGGCTTGAAGGGTTCAGTCCTTTTCAAGCACCTTTCTCGAATTCCAAAGTTAGGGAGTATCTGCCCCATTTAACTAATCTTGCCCACTTACTGACCTTTAGTTTCAACCCATCTGCTTGTCTTCTCAACCCTCCCCCACTTGCTGAACTCACAGCAACTTTAAGCTTTAATGCTTTCATGAGCCACCAGTTACTGAAGAGTATCTGACTCACTCACTAAACCTGACCTTGATCCATGATACCTAATGTCCACTGAATTCCTACTACCCATCTTTAACATGTAGACCACTATCATCTATCCTTATGACAACATCCTACCTAAACGAAAACAAAGAAAGTTACTTGCTTCTTATAGAACTGATGCAGAAACAGACAAAATGATTTTTCTGTTTTCAGTTCATTTTTACCTGAAGTAAAAGAATGTCTCAGAAGCATATGCTTACTTGAGGAGAACTAAACAACTGTAGAGAATCCAGGAACGATGCAATGTTATATGAAGTGACAGTTTTATTGTTTTCTGGGCTGCTGTGTAGATAGAAATATCATTCAGAATTCAAAATGCAAAATGAGGACAACTTTTTTAACTGATTCACTATGCAGGTGCTAATAAGCTTTCAGTGTTTTGGATATGCCTGAAACTCTGATAAAGTTAAATAGTTAACTGAAACTCAGAAACTACTGTTTAATCTTATACTTGCTATAACTCCATATAATGTTAAAGTGTATACAAGCTCTAGACTAAGAAATATCCTGCTATTTCAAAAATGTCTGCTTATACGATAAAGGCTCCGCCTCCTTCACTTAAAATGAACAATCCAAGTGGAATAAAAGAATGGCTTACAACTGACCAAAAAATGAATATGGTTCATTATGTTAATGAGAAAAAATTAAGAGAAAATGTTTTCAATGTTGATGAAAAGTCAAGGAACACAGATTACAATAAAGATGATTTTATAAATAAAATCCATTAAAGAAAGCACTACTTCAAACTTTGATTCAGTAATTTTGCATAAAGGCAGAAATGTCATACTATCCTACAGATTATATGCTTATGTATTACTAACCTTATATTAGCAACAGATAAATGGCTTTCTTAACTGTATTTTCCTGGATATCTCCAAGGATGAGTCTCCTTTCAGTTTTGTATCCCACAAACTATACTACTGTACAACATAACTGATTAGCAAAAATATTATAATTAATATATTAATTGAAGAAGTATATCCTACAATTTAGAAACATTAAAATAGTTAAAATTACTCAAGTTTTAACTTGCCCAAAACATTCCCTAACCAAAAGGGACAACTAATGATGCTATAAAATTCTATATAACATTCCCAGTCTACTTGTTTTGGAGGGCAGGCTGCCATTCCTGGCCTATTTTAATCTTTCAAAGACGGTCACTGCTCCCATTTAAAGGTATAAGCAATTAAGAGATACAGACCCTCAGAAGTACCTTCTGTAACTTCCCTAATTTCTAAGCTTAAAATGTCATCTAGGCTGGGCGTGGTGATTCTCACCTGTAATCCCAGCGCTTTGGGAGGCCAGGCAGGTGGATCACCTGAGGTCAGGAGTTTGAGATCAGCCTGGCCAACAGGGAGAAACCCCATCTCTACTAAATATAAAAAAATTAGCCAGGCATGTTGGTGGGCATCTGTAATCCCAGCTACTTGGGAGGCTGAGGCAGGAGAATCACTTGAACCGGGAGGTGGAGGCTGCAGCAGTGAGCCAAGATCACGCCACAGCACTCCAGCCTAGGCGAGAGTGAGACCCTGTCTCAAAAAAAAAGATGTAATCTAAATCCACACCCTCAATTTTATTTAATTCTTATCGCATGCATCCTCCCAGGCTTTCTTGGGATCAACACCAGAGACTTATAACCAAACAGTATTTGTTGGCAAAGGGGCTTTAGCTAAGGGACATCCTTGCAATTAATCCAACTAGGAAAAAATGACCATAGTTTGTGGGAGGACACTGGGTTCTTCCACCTGTCACCTAGACAATTCTCAAACTGTTTCTTGGATTCTCCTGTGCAGCTCCTCCCTGCTTTCAAATAGAATGAATATGTTCAGGGAAAACAAATTATCCCTCTCCCCTCTGTTAATACTAACAACTAAAACAGAAAGATATTTATAAAATGTAATGAATTATAAATAAGATATAATATTAGTAATTACTATCTCCTTATAGCTTCCCCTTTCTAAAAAAACTTAAAATATATTTATTTTTCAACATTTCTGAGTATAACATAAAAAATTATTTGCTTTCCCATATAACAAATTACAGATTTAACTTGAGGCAAAAAAGGTTAAGTGACTTACCCAAGGTTACAATTAGAGGTACAGCTGGGGCTAGAAACCAGGTCTCCTGAGTCTCAGCCCAGTGCTCTTTTCCTTAGCCCATGATGCCTTATCAAAAAAATCCAAATACAGTCAGACCCCCAGTTATATATGGGTATGAGTTACACTGATTCACATATACAAACTTTATATAGTGTGACCAATGTTTCAACTCACGCGGTACCCTGCTTCCATTTATGCAGTATGCCAGGCATCGGCACGATTTTCAGTGGCACACAGGCGGTTGCCACCACCAGGGCCCTAGGCAAAATTGCAAAGAAGGCAAAGTTTGTCTTTGGCCCTCCCACCTCCCTTATGCATTCCTCTCCCACCTCCTGGCAGTCCCCTTGCCCAGCCTCCCGGCACCATCATGCTGCCCTCAGATTGTCTAAAGCCCCCAACTTCCACCACTCACCCAGGACTGTCCTTTCTTGAAGTGCCCAGTGATCCAAAATTACCTCTCCATTGCCCTGCTAATAAAATTCCTACTCCTGAGGATTCCAGTGAAGTTTAGGTAATCTAAACAATTAACTGCTTTTAGTAATTCAAGATAAGGCATATTTAACTAACAGACTTAAATCTCCAATGAATTTTAAAAGGATCTAATTAAAAACTCTGTTGGGAAAGGGAGGGGGAAGAAACCTTAAGGGAGTGGGGAGGTAATGTTTTTCCAAAGCCCAGGACTTTGTGCCACTTCAGATTCCTTCACAAACAGGACACTAAGGGTTGAGGGGATCACTGCCACACTGAACCCCACTACCTAAAAAGAGAGTGGTTGCTTTATAGTCTCTGAATTTAAAAAAAGAAAGAAAAGAAAAAAAAAAAAGGACAAAGTTGCCTTAAATACCCTCCTACCTACCTTTTCCACCTCTCTCCCACCTCCTGGATCCCCATTTCCACCTTATTGCCAAAGACACCCAACAGCGTTCCCATAAGCTGTTTGTGTGTCCAATACAAGGCTTCCCATTAAATGGTTTCAAATTACATGGCGTTATTCAGGGGACGTTTCCATGTTCCCCTATCCCTGGATAACTTGAAGTTGACTGTATGCAAAAAAGAACAATCCTAATTATTAAAAGTCCTGAATCATAAAATGATATATATAAACTCATTAAATGTCTGGTAAGGAAAAAAAAAAATGTTCTGATTCTTATTTTGCATATATAAAAGAATTAATTTCGATATCTAAAAAGCTCACTCAATTATTTTTCCTTGAAAGTAATATATTTTTTACTTCTGACCCAATATAGCAGTGAAAATCCAGTCATTTCAGCTAAATAACACTGTGGACTCCTAAATGAGTTCAATCATAGTAAATCCTCTAACTCTGAAGAAAAAAAAAAATCCAGTAACAGACACATTAAAAAAATACACAAGGTGGATTTTAAGAAATCCAAGTTTCTGCTGACTACACACACAGAAATATATTTAAATTTAGCTTTGCAATACTAGACAGGCTGCCTAATTCAGAAACTTATCAGGAGATGGTTTACCTTGACCCAACTACCCTCCCAGTAAAACTAGGAAATCCAATTCATGAAGAAGATACCAAAAATGGTATCCATCAAGGACTGAAAAGATCATGTAAAGCAAGTCTTAAATAATTTCCTTCATTTTATTACACAGATTAGTTGTTCTGTTAGCTAGGATTCAATGAAGCCCGTTTCCAATACTCTCATATTGGAAAGGGAGCAACGTGAAGACAAGCTGCAGTGATAAAGTAACCATTCTTATTTAAACGTGAGAAATGATTAACAGTTAAAAGTTTCTCCAATGGTATGTTAAGTTAATGTTAACTTTCCACCCAAAACTCATTTCCTTCCCAATCTTTCCCTCCTCTCTACACAACCACAAGCAGGTTTGCCATCTACACCTATTTGTCCATATGTTCTATAAAGAAAAGTTCCCAATATGGGTTTTTATTTAAACTAAAAATGTGAACACTGAAAAGCCACTCTATGCACTGCTGAAAGATTTGAATGCAATAAGGTTTTTAAAATCTACTCATATTTTGCTGCAAAGCAC